GAACTAAGTTCCGGGAACTATTCCTGAGAAAAGTACTTGGTGTGAAAGCGCCTAATGGTGCTCTAGGAGGAGGTTCAGGTGATAAATCTTTAAATGGATCAGGACAAAAAGAGAGCAAATCTTGTTTCCTGAAATTTTCAGAATCTCTTAACGCAGCGGGGACACATGTTTATGTATAAAATACATGAAAAAGTGGGCTTTGCATAATAGGTGACCTTTAAGGCATGAATTTTGGTAGAAGTAATTAAGGGAAAAATAAATGATTTATAAAAGTGTTCATAGCCTTTACACCAAGCATGGGCAAACTATGGCCCACGGGCCATATACGGCTTTTTAATCCGGCGCGCCGAATATTGGTACAAAATTGTCCAAATTATAGTAAAGACCGCATTCATTTTTCCTTTTTCCTGCAATACCCGGCTAATTCTGATTAGCTTTGGTTGCTATGCTAACATCACCTGTGGAATGCCAGAAAACTTTCATAATAGCATTGTGATGCCAAACAGCGTCAATTCAACCTGAAACACATTCACTGATGGGGATGGGGGATATTTATCAGCTGCTTGTGTGACAGTCGGACAGTGAATACTTTACAGCGGCCGCTGCCATGAGTTTACATTAGAATAAACTCCAGTGGACGAGCAGCGCTCGGTAAATGCCGCTGAAACACATTAATAAACAATGCACCACGGCACTCTGGAGAAAAGTATAAGGTTGGAGAAGTAGTTCTTTAATTTATTCTGGCTTCGTATATTTAAAACTACCCGACGCAGTCCTCTATTGATGTTGTTGTGAGCGGTGTTGTGGCGAAAATTAGCGACGTAATACGCTGTGTGGGTCATAAGAAGGCACGTAAACGGTTACGTCATGACGCAAACGATGACGCAATGACGCAATAATTCACCTCTGAACCTAATTCACCTTTGAACCTGCATCTGTAACAATGAGTGGACCAAAGAAAATAAAAGTCGACATTGAGTGCAGACAAGAGTGTTTAATGAGGAGTGGACAGCTAAATATATTTTCACCGATCTGCTACTGGCCCGGCCCGTCTGACACATTTTAAACTCATAGTAGCCCCTGAGCAAAAAAGTTTGCCCACCCCTGCTTTAGACACTAGAGGCTTTTTATCATGCGATCAGTTTGCAGGTCAGTATCTTTTTCAGACTGTTGTGTTACACATAATCTCACACAGAACGCAACTTTGTACAGTATTCTTTTTCGAAACACAGCATTATTTTTCAAAACAAAGTATTTTTTTGGAGCTTTCCCACTGCAAATATAGGCGTCAACCAATCAGGGTTACTTAGAGCAGTGGTTCTCAACTGGTGGGTCGCGACCTAAAAGTGGGTCGTGGACCCGTGTTGAGTGGGTCACGGATGTGTGAGTGACGAAAAAGAAATTGAAGAAAATAATTGGAATTATTTTTTTTATTTTTTTGGGGAAAAAGTCAAACTTTTATTTTGAAGGCCCGATTTTCTAACGCTGCGCATGCAGTCGGCGTTGGACCCGGAGACCATAAACGGTTTTGAAAACTTCTGTCACGTAGTGATCATCTTCTCAATAAAATATCTTTGCTGATGTTTTTTCGAGTCTTCTGGCCAATCACAATCAAGATTGTTGCCGGAAGTCCCCACGGAGAATAACTTTGCGGTAGAACTCTTCTTTATACATCCATGGGTACAACTTCAGTTAAAAATGAACACATAATGAAATATGACCCCCGGTTTGATGATTGACAGGTCACAGAACAATGGGAGCTATCTACCCTTACCCACAATTTAAAGTAAGTCACACATACTATCTCCTCTTTACTCTTCTCGCAGCAAGATGTCAGAACAAAGTGAAAAACAAACAATGGCATAA